TAGTAATATTTGAAGCATACCCATTTTGAAACTTCACCGATTTCGTAAATTCAAAAAATTGTTATTTTCCTCCTTAGATAACACATAACAAGCTACCGATACCATATATCTACCATCACTTCTTTTCACCAAATGCAACTTTTTTCTTATATTCATATCCTCCAAATCTTGTCTAGGCTTGAATGTATCTTTATTTTTCCTATCCACACTAAACAATGTTCCTAAAATATTCTCATAAATATTTTTCTCAATATGCATTACATCTAAATTATGTCTTCACTTAAGTGTATGCCAATATGGCTAGGGATGGCAATGGGGCGGGGTGAGGCGGGGCGAGGATTGTCATCCCCATCCCTTAAAAAAAAAAAAAAAAAAACCCATCCCGACCCTCACTCGGTTCCGAGCAAAATTTCACTCCACATCCCCACCCAAATAGGTCGGGGCAAGGCCGAGCTCCAATAGATTAGCTTTTTTAAAGGTAAAATGGCGGGGAGGGGCGAGGATGGGGATGCATTCCTCGCCCCGCCCCGTGCCCCGTTCGGGTAAAATTTCACTCCCCATACCCGCCCAAAAAGGACGGGCGGGGCGAAGTTCGAGCGGGTTAGATTGCCATCCCTAAATATGGAAATTGAAAAAGAATACTGTTTTTGGTCCAATTTAACTCGTCGAAAGTACGGTTCCTCTTCTTATTTGTTGGATGTTTTCCAAAATTGACATATTTGAAGTTTTTAATTGATGTAACACATCATCTCCCGATACTCTATAGGAGTTAATCTATGTTCAATCTTCTCATCAAACTTTTACTTTTTCTCCAACTATGATCATATGGTAAAAACCAACGATGCCCTATATAACCAATTTTACTTCTTAACTTATAGGAATAAGTTTGTTGATTACATACAGGACAAGCCATATATCCCTTTGTACTCCATCTAGACAAATTACCATATGCGGGAAAATCATTTATTGTCCATATTACGAAAACATGCATTTGGAAAAGTTATCCGCTTGAAACATCATATGTTCTAACACCAACTTCCCATAATTTCTTTAACTCATCAATTAAAGGTTGTATGAAGACATCAATATCCCTTCTTGTTGCACAAGGCCTTAGAATTAATATTGACATGATGAAAAAATTTTCTTTCATGTATTTCCATGGTGGTAAATTATACAGCACATGAGTGATTTGCCACATACTATAAGAGCTACTCATATTACCAAATAGATTGAAACCATCAATTGTTAAGCCAAGCTCTACATTATGAAAATCTTAGAAAAACCATGTAAACTTTCCATCAAAATTTTTCCATGCCATACCATCGATTGGATGTCTTAATACACCATCATCAACACACTTCTCCTTATGCCACCTCATCTTTATAGTTATATTAGTAGACAAAAACAACCTTTGAAGCCTAGGCCTTAAAGGGAAATATCACAAAGTTTTATGGGGAATCTTCTTTCCTAAACTATCATTGATTTTCCATCTTAAGGTACCAAATTTAGGGCAAGATTCATGCGATTCATACTCTTTCTAAAATAAAGCAAAATGATATTTACAAGCATGTGTAAGGATATACCCTAATGCTAACTCGAGCAACATGTTTTTTTACCTTGTAATGAGATTTTAGAAGTGTCTCACCACTTGACAAAACTTGTTTAAGTAAATCAAGTAACATGTCAAATGATTTATTGCTCCATTTATTATACACCTTTAAGTGGAGCAATTTCACTATGAATGACAATGTGGTAAACTTTAAATAACCCGGATATAATTATTATTGTGCTTCATGTAATAATTTATCAAAAGACTTAGTTCTATGGTTTGTGTCATCTCCCACATAATTCCTTCTAAGGTTTTCAAATTCATTTAACATTTCATTAATTCCATCATCATTAGGTGTCATCCCAATATGAAATTCATTATTATGGTTACTAGAACAAGTCTTAGATCTAACATCAAAATTAGAATGTTCTCCATGATAGATCCATTGAGTATAATCCATATCTATCCCTCAAATTAATAGATGATCATAAGCCACATTTTGACTTTTAACATATAAATTTAAACAATCTGTACATGGGCACCTAATTTCACACTCTCTCCCTAAATTATCTTCCATAAATTTTATAAAAGACTTAAATTCTTCAATCTATCCATTCGACCATTTTAATTCCTTCATCCAAGCCTTATCCATTGTTAAATGCCTATCACAATAACATACGTCGGAGCATATTTTAATAAGTTATAATACATTGTTTATGAATAGATAAAACCATTCGTCATACATCATGTACATACTTTAGTAAAAAAATGCCAAAACTTCCGTACCACAAGAAATGACACCCATCAATCGGAGTAGCTAATTTTTTTCTTGAAACAAAAACACTTAATATTCTTGAAAAATGAAATATATATGTTTGATATAAGAATAATGTTCCTCTTTGGTATTATTGCTACCGCAATATGAATCAAACCATATTATCATAATGTTTCATGGAGGTATGCAACTATCGGTAACCATAAATCCATATTACTACTAAGGAAAGATCAAAGAAGGTGGTAGGGTGGGTGAACATACAAGTGTTGTAATTAATGCTACTTTTAAGTTAGGGGAAAGAAGGTGGTGGAGTGGGTTAAGCGATCCCATATGAAACATGATATGAGTACTTTTAATGTGTCTTTAAGTGTGTTTTTATGATAGTAATTCTGCTTAAGAGCTTCTTTTATATTTTTAATAATCATTAGAATGTTTAATTTTAAGTTTTAAATGTTAAAGAAGTGGGTTGGGCCATTACTCTCTCTTTTTATGGTAATTATTGTAGATTGAGGACGTATGGATCATAAAACTTGTACTAGCCGTATAATGCATAACCATGCAGCATTGCATAGTCACAACGAAGTAGCTAGAAGTGATTTATGCACAATCGTGCAACGATCGCACGACCAAAACCATGACATTATGACAAGTCACTTAAGAGCCATCCTTTTGGACGACTAATCGAATATAAAAGAAAGCCATAAGACAGAGAGAAAAAAAAAAGATGATCTTTTGGAGCAAGAAAACAAGGAAACAAATGAAGAAGAAAGAGAGCCCAAGAATCAAGGAAGAAAATTAGAAGAAGTTCTTAGCAACATTCAAGAGTTCTTTCTTTCATCTTTTGTTCTTGTGTTATGACTCTAAGTGTTTTTAATGTGTTATTATCAATCATGATGATGAATTGCTAAATTTTCATTAGGGATTAACTCTTGAAAGATTCCTTGATGTTAATCTTTTGGGTTTATTATTAGCTTTGTGATGTTTATTGTGCTTCATGCTCTAATTGCAATTGAGAAATTGAATTAGATGATTTATGTTATGTTTCAATGAGAATTGTTGCATAATAGATTGATAAACATCGGGTTAATTGATAGTTATGGAGACATCATGATTGTTGATTAATTGCTTGAAAGATTGCTTAAGGAATTGATTAAAGCGATTTGGATTTGGGGTTATTAGTTGAGAAACTATAATTTCACTCATATTTCTTCAAGCTCGATAGTTTAGTTATTGCTTGAAAGAGAATAACTAACACCATTGGATATCTAGAGCCTTATTTGTATTAAACCACTAAAAAGACCGATAGGGGATGTGGATAGCGTTAATTCCTAGCCTATTAAACCTTGATTAATTTCTTTAAAGTTTTTAGTAATTTCACTACTTATATCTTTTTATACTACTTGAGCGATACGTGCTTTTGGGGAACCAACAAGTTTTTGGCATCGTTGTCGTGGACTATTGTGTTTAACATTTGTGTTGATTTAGTTTGGCTTGATTTAAGAATTCAATTTTCTTTTTTTTTTGGGATTAAATCTCTAGCTTTGACTTGATTTTAGGTGTATATCAAAGAGGAGATCAAAAAGCTCATAACAACTACTAGTAGCATTCATCCTAGAAATTGCAAGACACGAGAGGGATCTTAGAAGACAAATCCACCAAAAAAGAGACAAAATGGCAGAGGAAGAAGGGAATCAAGTGGGCTAACAAAGAACTCTCATGGAGTATGTGAGACTAGGTTTCAACGTAAACCAACAAGGTGTTACATGCCCGTCGATTAATGCCAATAATTTTGAGATAAAACTAGCGTTGCTCCAAATGCTTCAATCAATCGTGCAATTCTATAGGGTGGCCAATGAAGACCCAAATGCCACATCGCCAATTTCTTAGAGATTTGTGACACATTCGGATATTATGATGTTTCCGACGATGCAATAAGGCTTCGCCTATTTCCTTTCACTCTAAAGGACCGAGCTAAGGCATGGTTGAACTCAATGGCTCCGGGTTCTATCAACACATGGGATCAATTGGCTCTAGCTTTCCTCGCCAAGTATTTCCCTTTGGCAAAAAGGGCAAAGATTATCAAAAAGATTACCACTTTCCAATAAGCCAAAGGGAGTCCTTATATGAAGCTTAAGAGCGATTAAAGGAATTACAAGGAAAGGGAGTCCGCATCATAATTTGCCAAGGGAGTCGTTATTGCAAACATTCTACAATGGATTCAATCCTACTATAAGAGGAACCATTGATGCGGCATTAGGTGGTTCATTGATGAGAAAAACAGTTAATGCCACGTATGATCTTCTTAAGGAAATGGTAACTAATAATTCTCTATGGGCAACGGAGAGGACCAGGACACCGTGAAAGAATAAAAGTTCGTTCTTACCTCGATCTAGTGATAGCATTGCAAGCAAAAGTGGTTACATTGTGAAAGCAAATAAATGAGATAAGAGTGGGTTCTTCAAGTCAAGTAGCTCGTCATTCAAAGTCCATATGAGCTATGCGGGTAAGTTGGGCACCTTGCTATAAATTATTTCTTAGCAAGAGGAGTAACTGGAGAGCAAGTTAATTTTGTGGAGGGTTCAACAAGGAAGAGTAGGGAATAATCCCTATTCTAATACATATAATCCAGGTTGGAGAAACCACCCGAACTTTTCTTGGTCCAACAATGCGAGAAACATGGTTAGACCCCGAGGGCCATTCGGATTTCAACAAAATCCTCAACAAGATCGGCTTTTATCTATCGAGTCTAAGATGGATAAATTCATTGATACAATGGGGAGTAAGTTGACTAGTCAAGAGGAGGCTCGAAGAGAATGGAGGTGAAGTTAGATCATATTGTTAAAAACCACTCTTCATCTATTCACAACTTGGAGGTACAAGTTAGGCAATTAGCCAATGCTTTGTCAAACGAGAATTTGGGGAGTTTGCCAAGCAACATGGAATCTAATCCGAGGGAACAATTGAAGGCAATCCGCTTATGAGTGGTAAGGAATTAAGTGCACCCCTACTTAAGAAGAAAGGAAAAGAACCAATTGAGGAGAAGGGAAGTGAGGAAGGAAAACAAGTAAGCAAGTCATATGTTCAATCCATTTCTTTGTGCCTAAAGTGCCTTTTCCTCAAAGGTTGAAGAAACAACAACTTGACACTCAATTCGCCAAATTTTTAAAGAAATTGAAGAAATTGTAAATCAACCTTTCTTTTATGGAAGTGTAGGAGAACATGCCCAAGTGGGTAAAATTCTTGAAGGACATCTTCTCAAAAAGAGGACTTGGGATGACAACCAAACGAGTGTCTTTAACGGAGAATTATAGCTCTATTAAACTTCAAGATCTAGGGAGTTTTACAATTCTTTATGTTGTTGGTCACTTTGAATTTGCTAAAAGTGTGATTTGAGAACAAGTTTAACCTCATGCCTTTATCTATTTTCGGGAAATTAGGCTTGGAAGAGGTGAAGACAACTCCAATAGTGTTGCAGGTAGCCAACCAATCAATTAAGAGACCTTATGGTATGATTGAGGATGTCTTAGTAAAGGTGGATAAATTCATCATCTCAGTGGATTTTGTGGTGCTAGACTATGATGAGGACAAGAATTGTCCTTTGATCCTTAGGAGGCCATTCTTGAACATCGATAGAGCCTTGATGGATGTGTATAAGGGAGGGCTCCCGTTAAGGATAGGAGAGGAACAAGTGGAGTTTTGGATGAGCAAAGCTATGAAACATCCTATGAAAAAAGAGATTTGCCTCAGAGTGGATGTAATTGAAGAGTGTGTTGTAGAAAAGGAAGAGAAAAAGCAAAAGGAAGGCATTTTTGAAGAAGAAAAGCAAATGGTAGCTAGTGTGGAGGACGAGAGGACTACACCGGAGTTACTAATGAGGACGAATGCCCCTACACCTCTATCAATTGTCAAGCCACCTACACTTAAGCTCAAGCCTTTACCAAGTCACCTTAGGTATGCTTTCTTGGGTCGGAAAGACATTCTACCTATCATTGTGTCTAGTAATTTATCAAAAGAGCAAGAAGATAGGTTGGTAGAAGTAGTGAGGAGTAAGATAAGGGCTATTGGGTGGCAATTCTCGAATATAAGAGGTATTAGTCCGAATGTAGTGATGCATAAAATCCATTTAGAAGAAGGATGTAAGACGTTGAGGGAGAGACAAAGAAGATTGAATCCCAACATGAAGGATGTGGTAAAGAAAAAGGTTATCAAATTGCTCGATGTGGGAATTATCTATCCAATTTCGGATAATGAATGGGTGAGCTCGATGAAATGTCTTCCAAAAAAAGGAGGAATGATAGTGATAGAGAATGAAGAAAGGGAGTTGATTTCCACTAAAATGGTTTCGGGTTGGAGAGTATGTATTGATTATAGAAAGTTGAACTCAGCCACAAGGAAAGATCATTTTCCCCTCCCATTTGTTGACCAAATGATTGAGAGAATTACGAGTCATTCTTACTATTTTATCCTTGATGGTTTTTTAGGTTACAATCAAATTTTTATCTATTCGAAGACCAAGAGAAAACAATTTTTACATGTCCTCATGGCACCTTCGCTTATCGACGTATGCCATTCTAGTTGTGTAATGCACCGACCACCTTTCAAAGGTGTATGATGACCATTTTTATAGATATTATTAAAGACATTATGGAAGTGTTTATGGATGATTTTTTGATGGTTGGGAATTCATTTGAGTTGTGCTTGGAAAATCTAAAGAGAGTGCTCAATCGTTGTGAACAGTGCTAACTTGGTCCTCAATTAGGAGAAGTGCCATTTCATGGTGGAATAAGGCATTGCACTTGGGCATAAAATTTCCAAGGAAGGGATTGAAGTTGATAGAGCTAAAACTGATATGATAGCAAGACATCCTCCACCAATAAATATGAAAAGAGTTAGAGCTTTCTTGGGCCATGTTAGTTTCTATCGTTGGTTCATTAAGGATTTCTCTTTCATTACTAGGCCACTTACTAATTTATTAGTAAAGGATGTGCCTTTTAACTTTGACTCTTTTTTTCTTAATCCTTTTAATAGGTTGAAGGAGGCCCTAGTGACCACACCAATATTGACTTCTCCGGATTGGAGCATTCCTTTTGAGATCATGTGCAATGCGAGTAATCAAGCTCTTGGTTGTGTTCTAGGCCAAAGGAAAAATAAAAAGTTGCATGTCATCTACTATGTAAGTAAAACCTTAACATGGGCCCAATTAAACTACACCACAACCGAGAAGGAGATTTTAGCGATAATGTATGCTTGTGATAAATTTAAACCTTATCTTCTTGGTTCAAAGGTTATTATATACACCGACCATACAACTCTTAAGTATCTTTTTGCAAAGAAAGACTCAAAGCCAAGGCTCATTCAATGGGTTCTTTTGCTTAAAGAATTTGACTTGGAGATAAAAGATAAGAAGGGAGCCAAGAACTTGATGGTGGATCACTTATCATGACTTAAAAGGGAGAGTGCATAAAGGGAAGAGGAGGTTAATGAGCAATTCCTAGATGAGTCCATTCTTTTAATGCAACATTTGCAAACTCCCCGGTATGCTCGACATGACTAATTATCTTATAAGTGGTTTAATATCATTTGATTTGACTTATTAACAAAAGAAGAGGTTTTTCATTGATGCCACTCATTATCTTTGGCAAGAGCCTTTTCTTTATAAACTTTACGCAGATGGATTGATAAAGAGAAGTGTTTTGAAAGATGAGATGTTAGATGTTCTCACACATTACCATGATTATCCTTATGCCAATCATTATGGTGCTAATAAAACAACCGTTAGAGTGTTGGAGTGTGGGTTCTATTGGCCAACATTGTTTAAAGATGCAAGGGAGTTTGCAATGCATCATGAGCGATGTCAAAGAGTTAAGAACATTACTAAGAGGGATGAAATGCCACTTTCGAGTATTCTTGAGGTAGAAGTGTTTGATGTATGGGGGTTGGATTTCATGGGTCCATTCCCATCTTCTTTTGGTAACAAATACATTTTGGTGGGAGTTGACTATATGTCAAAATGGGTTGAGGCTTTAGCAAGTCCTATCAATGATGGTAAGGTAGTCATTAAATTTTTGAAGAAGATCTTTATGAGATTTGGAGTGCCAAGGATAATCATTATTCATGGTGGAACACACTTTTTCACTTAAAGGTTAGAAGGTCTTTTGAAGAAATATGGTGTACATCACAAGTTGGCAACTCCATACCACCCACAAATAAGCCGTCAAGTTAAGGTCACGAATTGAATAAGATTTTGGAGAAAACGATGAACAATTCAAGAAAGGATTGGACAAGCTAGATGATGCTTTGTGGGCTTACCGAATGACATTCAAAATGCCAATTGGTATGACTCCATATAGAATTGTCTATGGGAAAGCTTGCCATCTTCCGTTAGAATTGGAGCACAATGCTTTTTGGGCAATCAAGACCTTAAATTTTGATTTCAAAAAAGCTAGAGAAAGAAGACTCTTGCAACTAAATGAGCTTCGAGGAGCTAAGGTTCAATGCTTATGAGAATGCTCGATTATATAAGAAAAAGACAAAAACGTGGCATGATGCTCACATTAAGAAGAAAGAGTTCAAAGTGGGTGACAAAGTTTTGGTGTTTAACTCTAGGCTTAAGTTATTCCTTGGAAAGTTGAGATCAAGATGAAGTGGGCCATTTGAAGTGGTTCAATTTTTCACTCATGGAGCATTGGTTGTAAAAAATGAAAAGGGAAAAAGTTTCAAAGTTAACGGGCACCATTGCAAGCCATATTTTGGAGGGTTCTTTTCTAGAGAAAGGGAAACACTTTCTCTAGTCAATTCAACTTGAACTCTAAAGATATGAGGATCCAGCTAAAGACCTTAATTTTAGCATGTTTTGAGTTGTATTGTGCTTGAAAATTTTTTTGAAATTGTGCACGTTTGCCTAATTGTGCAAAAACGTTTGGCAAAAGTTTCTATTGCGGTTGTGCAACGATGCACGATCGCGATAGAAAGCTTTTGCTCTCACTCTATCATGGCATGCATTGTTGTGTGATCGAGATAGATTGAGAGCAAGCTTTCCATGTTAAGTACTAAAATTTAAAAAAAAAAAAAAAAAAAAAAACTATGCCTTTCTATTAAAAAAATACACAAAAACCCTAAAAGTTCAATCATGTCACGACCACCAGCTTCTTTACTTCTATTTTCTCCTTTTTTTCCTTTCTTTTCGTATTTCCCCCTCCCACTTTGTCTCTTCATCTCTTTCCTCTTCCTTTGTTTTCAAATCTTCTCCATTCTCATCTTCTACCTTCCTTATTCTTTAATTTTGTTTAAGATTTCAGGAAAGCTTTACCATGCCACCAAGAACAAAACCACCCATCAAGAGGAGGCCGACGGGTCAATCCGGATAAGGGAAAGAGGTGGCTCCCCCTACACCATAACCCGACTTTGCGGCTCAATTTGGTATGCCATTCCGGATCTACTCTAAGAAAGAAGGTAAGAAATTTCAAATTATTCATAAGCAAGATATTACCGAGCCTAGATACTTTGATTTTGAATTATTAGAACGATTGGGCATTAAGGAATCGATGGTTGATTTGAGCCAAAAGGTAGGATTAGAGACTTTCATTGCTTGTGACCTTGCAACTTATGAAGAGTTAACTTGGAAATTTTACACCACCTTATGTTATGATATTAAAAATTTGACATCTCTTTGGTTTAGGTTGTTTGGTGGTTTTTATGAGGTTACTCTTGACTCGTTGAATCAAATTCTTAAGTTGCCTAAAGGAACAACCATTGAATCTCATAAAAAATTTAAAAGGTCACAATTTTGAAAAAAATTAACTGGTTTGGATACTTTCAATCAATACAATGCACCAAATAGTCTCATTCGAGATGCTTTTGTCTTAATGCTTCGTAAGTTATTTGTCATACAATTTTTGGGAAAGTAGACAAGCAACAAATGCTCTCGAAAAGATTTATTTTTGTTATGATCCATGCGTAATAAAGTGAAATTCTCTCGCATTTCATTTCATCTTCCATGCTATTATGGGTATTGTTGGTAAATGTTGTAGGGCAATGGGAATGGGTTACATTGTGATCGCTTTAGCAACCCATTTTTACATTGATTTTTCTTGCCTAACCCCATTTGTCAAAGATTTTTTTCGAGAAGATCACTTGAGGAGTGCAGAGATCCTTTTAGTTAGTGCTTTTGGTCTTCGGGATCCTTGTACTCGTACTTGTTTTAGGAATCGGAATGGCATCCCATAATTATCTTCAACAGATTGCGAACTCAAGTGACGATGTGGAGAATGATGCTGAGGAAGAAGGGTGGAGAATTGTCCTTAAAAGGATGGAGGAGACAAATGCAATCTATGATACAAGAATAACCGCCATGGAAACTCAAATAAAGAATTTAGCCAAGTTTCAATGGTATCATCATTAAAAGATGCTCAAGTTCTTTTAGGCGAGCAACATTAACGTTCCTTCACCAAACTCATCGCTTTCGAGTTCTCCACATCACTAAAGAAGCCTTCGACCCTTATTTTGTGTTGATTTTTTTTTTAGTTGTCTCTTTGTTGCGTGTGTTTATTTTTATTGTGTGTTGCATTTGCTATTTCGTTTGTTTGTTTTTGCTTTTACTTGTGTTGGTCCACATTGGGGACAATGTGACCATTTTCTTGTGTGGAGGGGGATTTTGAGTTTTGAGTTTTATTTTTGTCGGTGTTTGCCTCGCTTACCTTTTGGTTGTTTTTGTGTGCTCGTGTGTTTGTTTGTGCTTGTGCTCATATTGATTGTGCTACAATTATGGTGATAGTGTGCAATTTGAATTTGAGATGCTTGAATGGACTTTGTAGTGTATCGTCATGTGAATGGAATGATTGGTTTAGAACTATGAGTAAATGCATGTTACTTAAAACGTAAATTGGTGTTTTGTTGTTGTATAGACAAGTTAACTTGAAAACCAATTCTTTCATCTTAGCTTGTACATTGTGGGACTCATTAAACTTGTTATTAAGTGGATTGAACTTTTGACTTTTTGAGAAACTCTTAGGACAAACTTGGTAGGAAATGAAATGTTTGACAATGGTTAAGTCCCTCTTGAGGTTGAACCTAAACAAGGACAAATGTATGGTTGGCCCCACCACCTAGGAGGTGCATTCTATGAGTAACCGAGGGCACTCATCACGGATGAGTAGTCTTCGCGTAAAAAGGAGGATTCACCTCTTGGTTGGCTATTAATAAGTGCTAAGCAAATTGGGACCCCTAATTCACCGACTTGTTTGCAAGCAACCATAAATAGTAAGGACGAAAGTGAAAATAAAATGAAAAGTGCAACGAATGGTGCATAATAAGTTATGCAAATCGAAAGCCAAGTTTGTCCTAATTTCAAAAAAAAAATTACTTTGGCTTAGTAATGGGGTGAGTGATTTCTCGGTGTCCTTGGTAAGATAAAAGACTTGATCATCGTCGAGCTTCTTTAAATGCAACACCCGAATACCGAGGTATGTGATAAGTAAGTCATAGATATGTAGGGTTTTACACTACTCGGTTAGTGCACATGGTTGTATGTTGCAACATCTTATGATTGCAACTTTGATTTGATTCTTGCCTCTATCCCGTGTTTTGATCTTACTTTGCTTGGGGACAAGCAAGATTTTAAGTGTGGAAAAGTTGATATGAGTACTTTTAATGCGTCTTTAAGTGTGTTTTTATGATAGTAATTGTGCCTAGGAGTTTTTTTTATGTTTTTAATAATCATTAGAATGTTTAATTTTAAGTTTTAAATGTTAAAGAAATGGGTAGGCTCGTTACTCTCTGTTTTTATGGTAATTATTGTAGATTGAGGACGTTTGGATCATAAAAATTGTACTAGCCGCATAATGCACAACCATGCAACATTGCACGGTCGCAATGAATGCAGTTGGAACCGATTTATACACAATCATGTAACACTACACGACCAAAACCTTGACATTATGACAAGTCACTCAAAAGCCATCCTTTTGGGCAGCTCGAGCAAATATAAAAGAAAGCCATAAGATAGAGAAGAAAAAAAGATGATTTTTGGAAGCAAGTAAACAAGGAAACAAAAGAAGAAGAAAGGGAGCCCAAGAATCAAGGAAGAAGATTAAAAGAAGTTCTTAGCAATATTTAAGAGTTCTTTCTTTCATCTTTTGTTCTTTTTTTATGACTCTAAGTGTTTTTAATGTGTTATTGTCAATCATGATGATGGTTGCTAAATTTTCATTAGGGATTAACTCTTAAAACATTCCTTGATGTTAATCTTTTAGGTTTAATATTAGCTTTGTGATGTTTATTGTGCTTCATGCTTTAATTACAATTTAGAAATTGAATTGGATGATTTGTGTTATGTTTCAATGAGAATTGTTGCATAATAGATCGATAAACATCGAGTTAATTGATAGTTATGGAGAGATCATGATTGTTAATTAATTGCTTGAAAGATTGCTTAAGGAATTGATTGAAGCGATTTGGGTTTTGGGTTATTAGTTGAGAAACTATAATTTCGCTCATGTTTCTTCAAGTCGATAGTTTAGTTATTGCTTAAAAGAGAATAACTAACACCATTGGATATCTAAACCCTTAGTCGTATTGAACCCATTAGAAAGACCGATAGGGGATGTGGATAGCGTTAATTCCTAGCCTATTAAACCTTGATTAATTTCTTTAAAGTTTCTAGTAATTTCACTACTTGTTTTTGTTATTGAATTCTTACTTGATTTATATATATCATCTTCAGTTTATTAATCTTAAACAAATCGAAACTAAGTCAATTGGTGGATAAAACATAGTCCTCATGGGAATAATATCTTTTTATACTAGTTTGAGCGATCCATGCTCTTGTGGAACCAACAAAACCATAATAACCATCAATATCTAGTAAAGCATGACATAGAACCACGCACAAAAATAATCAAAGCAACTCAAAATAGCACAAGTAATCAAAACAACTCTTAGGGCAACCATAGCAGCAGAAATAGCATTATCTCCCCTTAAGCATGAAATAGAAGCACACATATAAATAAAGGAAAGTTTAACACACAAATTGCACAACAATTTGTAAAGCATGAAATTGAAGCATACCTAAGCCAACACAAACTAAAAAACCTTTTGATAAATAAAAGAAAGTAGGTGAATTGCATAGGTTTGGATTGCTTGCTCATAACCTACATCCATTTTTATTTTATTTTTTGATAAATGAGAATTATGGTTAATAAAAAGCACATCGAAATCACATCATCCTAAAACCATATTGCATAATGTATCATCATTATTTTATTTAACATGATGTCTAATGCAAATAAAAAAAGATGGATTCATACATGACCTAGTTAAGCTACCTATCTTTATAAATTCCGAAACATCAACTACACAAATGAACATATTAAAGCAAAATAAAAAAGCTCTTGTTTTTATAATTATGTGTCGAAAATTGCAAAAGATGGATTCACCAAAAGCTATGAACTTTGCCTAATCACATTATAATTTATTAATTGAATACGGAGACTTTACATCTTGCCTAATCAATTATGCTTAAATAAATGAAGGAGATAGCTAGAAGTTAAGTTAATAATAGGCCGACCTCATAATCGCTAAAAATTTAGCACATCCGGAATCAAACCAATAACAAACCATGTATTCTCCTAAAATTATTGTTGCCAAGTAATTCAAAAGTTTCAAGCCGAGCAAGAACGAATTCAGTATGCCACACAACATGGCCGATCATGTTGTCACGGATAACTCCAACCCATCCACACAACATGGCTCTACTATATTTCTCACTCTCAACACTACCTATATGGCAGATTCCATAACCGAAGCTAATGACAAGTGGTTCCTATACTTACAACTACACTACCTACAAGTGTGCATAGAACATGACATGGTACGGAAAACCAAAGATAACACAACTCGTCAACATGTAAATCAAGCATGTTCAAAGTTTCAACTAGTTCAGCATCATTAAAAAAAATTGAGACCGATATCAGCACATGAGTATGATTTGGTAGTCCGAGACATTTATTGCTTGATTCCGTATATATTGAAATACAACAAGAAGAAAAACCAAAATATAAAACAATTTAAGACCAATATCAACACATGATTACAAAAATTGCACACATTTGGCAAAAAAAAAGAGTTTCTACTCTGTGAAATCAATAGCTCTTTCTTTACAAGTGAAAAATAAGAATGATTAGGATCTGCTAAATGATTTCCTTAAGAAAATGTTAATGTAGAGATCATCATCCCAGTAATTATACAACTAATAAAACTCAATTTTTTAACTTTAGTATAATTGCTAACCTTAAACTCGAGCAACGAAACCATCGTAAAGAATACTAAACAACATGTTAGTCAACGCTATAAAAACTAACCAATTTAAGTTCTTCCTCATATTCCGAACAAAATCTATGTCATTTTTTAATGAGCCACTCATTTCAAGTCATTAGCCCACTTGTTTGATCAAAATCAACCTCGGTTTTAAATAAACATAAAAAATATGATAATCCCATTCCCACATTTTATTGCTTGTATGAATCATCTAAAACTATTCAATCAAAGCAAAAGTAAATTGATCATATAATTTGGCACACATACCATATTCAACATTTTATGACACCAAACCAATTCAAAAACTTATCATTTTAGCTCAAATTCAAAACAAGGATATTGAGATAACTTACTTACGATGATACAACATAGGACATTGGGATAAAATATACCATAATTTGAAGAACATTGCATCATATATCTTCATCATTTTAGTTAATATGATGTGTAATGCAAATAAAATATTGAAAAATGGTCATGGTCGCTAGCACTACTAGTAAATTTTTATTATATAAATATACCTAATCTATGGAAAAGCCTAAATTGAAAAGACCAAGCAGATTTAAGAGTGAAAGTGATATTAATTAATTAGCAAGCAGCAGTATGTTTTCAAATTCATGAACAATCATCTCCATATAAGTCATCTAAAGGGAATGCATCTCAACAAAAAAAACCCATTCGAATATTACTATATGTTTATGTTGGAGAGAAGAACTTGCAGCAATAAAGAAATTAACAAATTAAATGATAAATTAGAAAGGAAATAGAAGGTAACCTTTGAGGGATTGTGACAAGTCCATTATTCTCATTGAAAGATCGACTCACAAGAGCCTATTTTGCCCACCACTTAATCAAACGAACACCACTACTCTAGCAAATATCTTCAATGATGTTGTATTGAATCCACCATTAATGTCTCGCTCTTAATATCTCCGACTTTAATGAGAAAGAAGAGGAACAATGCCAAAGCAAAAATCATAATGACAAGATTTTGTGGGTATTTATTCAGCTACTAGATTTTGTAGTTTTTGTGGGTATTTTACTCTAGCAAGATTTTTTGGTTTTTGTGGATGTTTTACTCTATCAAGAATTTGTGGGAAGCTTTTATTATCGTAGCATATAGTCCTTTACCAAAATTAGGGGTTAATATTTTATTTCAAAAATACGTGATGTTTCCTTTTCATCCACGTAGATACCTAACTTTTTTAGACATCTTTGTTTTTGTCCCAAATAGATAAATGGATAAAAAAATGTCATCCTTAGATAACTCAGCATTTTAAGACATGTAGTTTCATCCCAAAATAGTATAATTCATCCTAAAATAATTCATTTTCACAACAAGTGCGCACAACAAGCTAGGCATGCACCAAAAAATTAGGCGCCAATGATTTAAAGACAAAATAAGTTTTTTGTCAAGGAATATTCGTATTTGGGGATGAAAATGAATTCGTAGAAAAAATATTCATACTAAATTTGATATTTGTTATAGTGTTTATAGTTT